AATTAGTTTCATTTTGTACTTCAAAAATGTCATCAACCTATGTTTAATTAATTTAGGTTTTCTCTCTTTAAGGAAATCGTCTATATTGATATTAATAAAATTATGATCCTTGCATCATATTCAAACCATCCAAAACACTTCATCCCAGTAGGTCTAATATAAACTGATACCCCAAGCCCAGACAAAAGTCCAATAATCATATTTAGAGACAATCGCCCTCAAAGGAGTGACTCGAATCACTAACCTTGAACAAATTAAATTGGATCCTACAATGACTTTATCAGTCTCCATACTCTTAACCAAGAACAAAATCACAAACATTATTAAAAAACGTAAAAATAAAATGCAAAAAACAAAAGTAAAACAACAACAAGAGAAATTCTCGATCCAAAGTCATTAGTCTTAATCTACTTTAGGTCAATCCCAACACACCTCCAGCAATGACTTCTTCCATAGAGACAAATCGCCTCTAAACCACCGCCTCTGGGGTCATTGAGAAGCCGCTGAATTAGTTTATTAGGCGGGCCTCTATTAGAGTGCCCGTCCTTCCGTTTTTGGAACATCTTCTACTAGTAACTGAGTTGGTTGAGTGGTGAGAAAGTTGGAACATTGATCAACGATCAAAACTCGCAGCGGTCTCCCAAATGTAGAGGTTGCAGCTCCTGCGTGCTGGGCTGGACCTCTGGTGCGCACGGGTACAAGGTCTACTACAATTGGGTTGATTGAGTCACCGTGAATTACAATCTCCCAAATGCCTTGTTGGGTCGGGATGTGGGGGGCTTAAGATCGGAGATTCAACCTTTTGGAACATGGAACATCTTCTTTGGCATCTGTCAGGCACACTAACCGAGCTACCCCAGCCATCTCAACCATGACCACAAGCCCACTCGAATTGCCACCCATTACAATGAAGACCGGACATTTGCTACTGCACACCCTGTCACCCTCCTGTATCCAAACTGACATAGCTCTACTTGCTTTATCGATAGCTCCTCGTTGCAGCACTCATATGCTGCCCCAGTAATCCAACATCCCTTGCCTCTGTTGAGTCACTCAAGCAGTGTGCAAAAGGGTCCTGTGTTCGAGGCTTGGTGAAAGTGGCTTTACTTATTTGTATTTATTTTTTTTTCTTTTCGAAAAGATTTTTTAACATGATTTTGAACAAATAACATACACCATGTGATTATAATTGATTTGTAACAAAGTGAAAATTATTTATTTTAAGCATGATATTATAATGACTTTGTCTAGTGAATATTCTGTTATCTATATTTGTCTTTACAATTTTTTTTAATGGATTAGTTGATTGACATTCGTGAGATAATATCTAAGGCAAGTTTCTTCACCACACGAATTTTTCTGAATACGCCATTGAGCATTTTAACAGCAAGACGACTAGCGAGACAACAAAGTGTGAAAGTAAACACTCACGAATTTTGCATTTGCATTGAATAAATTGATATTAAGTCATTAGGCATTTGGTTTCTCTTTACATTAAAAAAAGGCCCATTTTTTTCTTTGCACAGGGTCCTAGAATTCTCAGGACCGGCCCTGCAAACTAGTACCCAAGTCTCGAGCAATGGAATAGTGCAAAGCTGTCAGCCGGATAGACAAACCCTAGGGACACGTTTACTTCACCGGTTATTAAACGGTGCTTATTAAGACCCGTGTTAATAAGCGGCGCATAAAATAAACAATGTTGTAAGACCGTGTTTACTTCAAACGGTTTAAAACACCGCTTAACATTAAAATGTCCAAAATAACCCTATACATATATATACACACAAACATTCATGAACACAAGTATATAATATAATATGTGTACCCATACCCCTAACCCCTTACCCACCCTACCTTACCCCGACCCCACCCACCGCCTACCCCTACCCCCTACCCCTACCCTACCTACCTGACCCCACCCTACCTACCCGACCCCACCCTAACCTGTCCCCACCCTACCCTACCCCCCGACCCCATAGGCCCCTATAGGCCCGTAGGGGGTAGGGTAGGTGGGGTAAGGGTGGGGTGGGGTGGGGTAAGGGTAGGGGTGGGGTTGGGGTAGGTGGGGTAAGGGTAGGGGTGGGGTTGGGGTAGGTGGGGTAAGGGTAGGGTGGGGGTCGGTTAGGTAGGGTAGGGGTGGGGTAGGTAGGGTGGGGTCGGGGTAGGGTAGGGTAGGTGGGGTGGGGTCGAGGTAGGGTGGGGTCAGGGTAGGTGGGGTAAGGGTAGGGTGGGGGTCGGGTAGGTAGGGTAGGGGTGGGGTAGGTAGGGTGGGGTCGGGGTGGGGTAAGGGTAGGGGTGGTGGGGGTGGGGTCGGGGGTAGGGTGGGGGTCGGTTAGGTAGGGTAGGGTGGGGTAGGGTAGGTGGGGTAGGGTGGGGTAAGGGTAGGGGTGGGGTGGGGTCGGTTAGGTAGGGTAGGGGGTGGGGTCGGGGTGGGTAGGGTAGGTGGGGTAGGGTGGGGTCGAGGTAGGGTGGGGTCAGGGTAGGTGGGGTAAGGGTAGGGTGGGGGTCGGTTAGGTAGGGTAGGGGTGGGGTAGGGTGGGGTCGGGTGGGGTAGGGTAGGTGGGGTAAGGGTAGGGGTGGGGTCGGGGTAGGTGGGGTAAGGGTAGGGTAGGGGTGGGGTAGGTAGGGTGGGGTCGGGGTGGGGTAGGGTAGGTGGGGTAAGGGTAGGGTGGGGTCGAGGTAGGGTGGGGTAGGTGGGGTAAGGGTAGGGTGGGGTCGGGGTAGGGTGGGGTCGGGGTAGGTGGGGTTGGGGTCGAGGTGGGGCAGAGATAACAATAGGTTACGGGCAAGGGGTAAATTCGGAAACTGAAAAAGCTTAAAGTGCCGCTTAATTAATACATGGGGGGTGGTATGCTTAATAAGCGGCACTTTAAGCACCTCTTTCGGTTAGTAAGCGGCTTTTTAAGCAGTGTGCGTGTGTACTTCACCTGTCTTACTAACCTAACTGTGACTTTAGCAGTGAAGTAAACACCTCCTAGACAAGCTAGACGAGGCCACATCTCTTATCATACATCCAGTAGGGAAAACTCCTTTTAATCACATTATAATATATTTCTCGTTACCATATTAAGGTGTCGCTTGGCAACACTTTTTTTTGTCTTATGAGGCTTATTAGCCAACTTTTTCACCAAACACGTAACTTTTGCTTTCACGCGGTGAATTGTGTAATAAGCAGAAAAGTAAGGTTGAAGTTACTTTTTTGACTGTATTGGCTGAAGTTACTGTAAATGATCATTTTACTTATTTTTACATATAATTTTTTCTTTGTTTTATTAATAAAATATATTTTAAAAATATTTTTTTGTTAATCAGCAGAATCAGCTAATGCAGCCAATTCAGTCAGAACTTCATAAATTTCAGCTAAATCAGCCAAACCAGCCGATTTTACTACTACCAAACTAGCTCTAAATTATTACTCCCTCCGACCCATTTTATAAGATACACTTTACAATGAACAATTTAAAATGAATTCCAATAGCTTTTTACTTTCTTACTTTATCTTTTTATGTGTCATTTCACCTTTTACTTTTTGTGGACCCATCTTACTCTTTTTTATTTTTTGAAGTTTAGAACCGTAAACAAACTTTACTTTCTTAAAATTCCCACTAAACTTACATGTATCGAAAGAACCGAAGGTCGCTTGAGGCGGCCGAAGGTTATACGATAAAACTAAAGGGTAATGACTAATGAGTTGGGCAGGTTTGTATAGGGCGGTTTATAACCGAGGCATTCATGGGGTTTATATAGGGCGGTTTATTGGGCAGATTTTAGTTTTAAGAATTGGGCTGCGCTGTTTGTGCCAATTGTAGATTGTTTTTATGTTGGACTGGGCGATTTGGGCGAAAAGCATCACGTTTCAGCACTGTTTTTAGTGTTGGGCTGGATTATTATAATGATTATGGTCAATTGTGTATCAAACAACACTGTTTTTAGTGTTGGGCTGGATTATTAAAATGATTATGGTCAGTTGTGTATCAAATTGTATTCTTATTACTATTGCATTTCAATATGAGTATATATTGTATTAATTATATGACAAGTAATAATAAGATTACACATTATTATTATTATTATTAGATGCTAATTGTGATAATAAATTGTGAAATTTTGTTTGATTGCAACAGACACTTTTAAAAAAATCGCATAACACAAAAGAATAATATCTTTATTGTAAGTATATCTGAAATTATAATGTTATTATTATTCTTATTCGGACAACATTTAATTTATAAATAATCCCAAATATTAATTATTATTGATTTAAATAAACTTTCTTAAGAGTTAAGACCAATCTTTGTCGCATGTAGGATTGTTATTCCAAAAGTTAATATTTTTCGCATGGCCAACTTTATGTTGCCGTATCAAGATGAACAACATAGTTTGAAATATTGATTTGTGGTGAAAATGGTGAACAAACCGACCATATTACAAATGTTATTTACAAGGGAGTGTTTCGAAAAATGTAGATTGTAAAAATCATATGATAATATTTGTTTATTTTTACTTATTCCAAAACATACTTACTACAAATGCATGAGTCTTAACTATCGTTTCCTTAACTATAGTTTATTATGTATATTACGCCTCTAATTCCACACATTTATACATCAATTAGTAATACTATCCTCCGTCTCTTTTTAATCGCAACATGTTGAATTTTACACTATTCACATGTTCTACTTTGACTACATTTTATATTATTATTTTATGAAAATTATTTTTTAAAAAAGTATTGTTCAATTCATCTCATTGCAAATTTTCAAAATCTAATTTTTAAATATTTTTTACTAATAGAGATTAAGATATAATTACGGTCAAAGACGTGCATTGACAAGTGTGAACGGAGGAAGTATAAACAAATAAAGATATATAGATTTTACATAATATATGCCCGTGCATCGTACTGGTGAGAATCTAGTGTATCTTAAATAGAGGTAGTATTTCTTGTATGACAAATACTAGTAATAAATCTCACTTTGGGCTTATCATACAGATTGCACGAAATTTTCAGAACATCCAGATGTTGCCTTGAACTTAGGCCCATATCAAAAGTTTAGGTCAGTGCCTTTTCTAGTTTCTGTGCAAAGTTACAACTGTAAAGTGTAAAACCCAAAGTCAGGGTTTTCTTTTTCACGCCAGCGATTGATTTGTAGCCCTTGACCGATTCATCAACGGCGGACCCGACACCGCGGTCGCCGACGCCATGGCTGAAAAAATTTCATCCGAGAACATGGACGCAGTTGAAACTAAGTCCGACGAGGTTGTAGCTGCTGAGAGTGGCGTCGGGAAGAGACCTAGAGAGGAGAAAGACATGCCGGAAAATGATGACAATGGCGAAGCATTGAAAAAGACGAAGGTCCAGAATTCAGAGGAAGTGAAAAAAGTTGGACTCTTGGATTGGAAAAAGGGTGCTGATGGAGAGACGAAAGAGGTCATATCGGGTCCAGTCACCGTCGGCCCGAAGACCTTCGGGTCATCTACTGAGATGTTTGATTATTTCCACAGGCTTCTCCATTCCTGGTCTGTCAATCTCAATTTGAATAAGGTATTAAGAAGCTCAACATTTTAAATATATAAAACGCTATCCTTGGTATTGATTTCTCTGACTAATTAAAAGAAATATTGATTAATTGATTACTTGCATAGAAATGTTATAGTAGGAAAGGTTTGATCATTTTACTGTGTGTGCCCAAAAGGCCGTATTTAATGTTTCTAGAGTCATCTTTGAAGTCGTTTTCATTATCAAACAAGGCTTCGCCGCTAGTCCTGCCTGCACGATTCAGCTTATCAGCCTTGTTCTAATTAAGAGCCCGTTTGGAGAACTCTGTTTTCCGCTTATCAGGCTTATCAGCCAGCTTTTTCACCAAACACGTAACTTTTACTTTCGCGCGCTGAATTGTGTAATAAGCCGAAAAAGTAAGGTTGGAGTTACTTTTCTGGCTGTATTGGCTGAAGTTACTGTAGAGGACCATTTTAGCTATTTTTACATATAATTTTTTCTTTAATTTATTAATAAAATATATTTTTAAAATATTTTTTTCTTAAATCAGCAGAATCAGCCAAAACAGCCACTCCAGCCAGAATATCATAAATTTCAGCAGAATCAGCCAAAACAGCCGATTTTGGTGCTACCAAACGGGCTCTAAAAGAAATTAGAACACTATAAGTTACACCTTGTGCAGTAAAAAATTAAACGTTGTGTGTGATATTCTATGTAGAAATGTGTTTCAGAGTAAGACACTAAAATAGTTGTTTTAAAGAAAATTAAAATAGCTTTTGTAAATTAAATATACTACGGAGTATTTATCTAAAATTTCAGACCTAGGATGTTTTTACTTAGATGAGTTTCAGACCCGGAACAAACCAGACTTAGAGAGACTAGACCAGACTTGGAGAGACTAGACCACACTTAAACAAACGAGACTAGACTTTGACATTTGTAAAATACAGATACATCAGACATCTATCAAATTAGGCCAGATCAGCAAATTTCATTCCAATTAAAAACATCCTAAATTGGTAGGTCTAAATTGGTAGGATCTTCTTGCACGCCCTAATTCACTCTAGTAAGTACGTAGTATTTGTGTTATTTGAAATGTTGGAATATGCCTATGCAGATACTGATTTACCGCTTTACCCTATATCTAATAAATAATAATCAGATTGTCCATTAAGTCTGAACAGAAACGTCGAACCCAATACTCTAGACAAACTATGTGATCTTATGGGATTTTTTAAAATCTGATTTTAAAACTCAAATTGCAGAATATAGTTCTAAATGAAAGTAGATATTGATTGAATGTTCGCTTGAATGGAGTAATAAGCTATTCCTTTTTTTTACTTTCAATCACAAATTTCCTTAAAAATTGGAGAGATTAACTGGCATGCCTTAAGGATGTTTTTGGAACTTAAAAAGTGCTAGGAGAAGGAGAAAAAAATTACAGAAGGATTTTCTATACCTGGTTTCACCTTATATATGTTACGGAAGAATTATATCTGATTGAAACTCTCAGTTCTTAGTCTTCTTACATATATTTTGATTTTTTTAATCTCTCATTTCACAATTTTTTAAATAAGATGAGTTTAAATACAAGCTTAAATTAATCTTTTGAGTATTGTGATTTTTAAACTTTACCCTGTATTTTCTTCTCTTCAAAATCTCATCTCTATTTTCATTCCCTACCTTTTTCACCTTTTCCATGTTCCAAACACACCCTTAATGCACCCGTTGATGCCCAAGGAAGTATAATCTTGTGATTGTGTGTGTATGCACACATATGTAGACCAATGCTTTATGCAGAAACATTTTAAGACTGTTGAATCTTGATTCAATAGACCTCACAGCGCCCTGACCTAATTGTTCAGCCACTTAGTTATGCTTACTTACAAATTAATTTAAAATACAGCTTACTTGCTCAGACCACAACTGTCTGATTTTCCCAGTCCTGGACATGTGACACATCCACTTCAGATGTCGATCCAAACCCAAATTTGTTGTTTTTACACACCAGATTTTTTATGTAGCTCACAAAGCTAGCATTCCATTATCCAAAGACTATGTAATCCAGACTATCATCTTGATCTTAATAGGAAAAGGCAAACATACCTGTAGGAAACCCAAAATGTAATGTCTTGGTGATCTCACTGATCTGTTTCTCAATTTCTCAATGTCTTGGTGAGCTGTTTCTCTATCTTAGTCTGTGCTGCTGATAACATTGCATTTGCTTAAAAGTAGCAACTTCAGCTTATATATGAGTTTGATAACTCGGTTGCAGTATGAAGAAATTGTGTTGATGGAGTTGCTTAAGAAGGGGCATGCAGAGCCAGAGAAAAAGATCGGGAGTGGAGTTGACGGATTTCAAGTACGATACCACCCTGTGTTTAAAAGCAGATGTTTCTTCATCTTGAGGGAGGACGGCTCTACTGATGATTTCAGCTTCAGAAAGTGCGTTGACAACATTCTGCCCCTGCCAGAAAACATGGCAACGAAATCCAAGGGTGAGCATGGTGGTGGTGGTGGAAGATGGGGTGGGCGTGGTCGTGGACGTGGCAGAGGTAAGTGGAGAAACTAAGCGAGCCCAACCAAATTACCAGGTGAATGAGTCTAGTGAAGACACTCAATTGATAGTCTTCCAGTGTGATGTTAGAATCTATATTACTCAATTATTTGCTCTTGATATTATATAAGGAAAATTTACACTACTGTTTTTGCCCCCCATAACCTGGAAGCTCCTCTAATTGCTTCACAAACGGATTTGCATGTACTTTCTTTGAAGAACTATACAAGTTATAAGTTATTACTCACATATAACGATCTCCTTCCCTGTTGGTATTTTACCACTAAAAAGGTCTGGTCTTATTATCTCGATCTCGTATAAAATAGTTTCTCATATCGGTATATATCTTCAGGCTTTTCTGTTGTGTGCCTTTTGGGTGGTTTCTATATGCCAACCCATAAATAGGGACACACCAATGGCTTTAGCAATTTAGCTCAATTAGGCTTGTTGACCACCTAAATAGCTCACATCTAGGGGTGGACAAGAACACAAGGTCCCGGTCCAGGATCAGGACCGGTTCTCCGGTTCAAGGCCATAACCAAGACATGGGACGGGATAAAGGAGGACCAGTACTGGGCCTCAGCTTTTGGGACTCTCCGATCCCAATTCAGTTCCCACTTTTTCTAGCATTATAATCATTCAGATGGGGTCCAATTAATGGTTGAAAAAGGGTGGGGACTGGGGAGGGATGGCTAGTTTCAAATTTCAATAGAGGAATGTTTGGTGTATCCCAAATTTGTACACAAAGTGTACACTAATTTGTGTATAGGGATGGTCTGGCTATGGGTGGACTGGTTCCGGTTCGGGCCCGGTTCGGGCCTGGGCCTGGCCGGGTCTCGGTTCAGAAATGGAGGCCCGGAACCGGCCCGGGTAATCCTGGGTCCGGGCCGGGCCGGGCCGGGCCTCGGTTCTATTTTTTTTTTTTTTGGCTTTTCCTAATTAACCCCTAACCCTCCCCCCTCACCCCCAAACCACCCCAAACCACCTCAAATGGCCCAAAATACCAAGTCCAACCCAAAAACTTAAAAAAATTTCAAAAAAAAAAAATTAATTTGGTCCGAACCGGGCCCGAACCGGCCGGGCCGGTTCGCCAATCAAAGGGCCCGGGCCCGAACCGCACAGTAACCAGGCCGGGCCGGCCCGAACCGCCCCCCGGACCGGTTCCTGGGCCGGGCCGGTTCAAACAGTAATCGGGCCGGGCCGCCCGGCCCGAGTCCATCCTTAGGTCTGGCAGACTGGCACGAGTCGGCCTGACCTGGGATCGGCCTGGTCCCGACGTTGTTTAGGCCCGGCCCGACCCGGTTCTCTTTAGGCCTGGAGCTCGGCCCGATCCCGTCCCAGGAGCTATAAGGGCAGGCTTCAAGCTTGTTTTTTAGGCCTGGGCCCGATTGCACTATTTTCTTAAATTTATTGCCAAGGCCCGTCCCGGTTCAGCCCGGTCCCGGTTTAAACACGGGCCGGTACCGGGCCTGAAATTATAGTCCCGGCCCTGGTCCCGACCAATCCTGGCCCGGTCCCGCTCCCGACCAATCTTGGCCAGGTCCCGGTCCATCCCTACCTGTGTACATACCTGTGTACACATGTAACTAGGGAGGTGTGTACAAATGGTTTACAAATTTGGGGTACCTATAGTATTTTTCTTCAAAATATACCCTTATCTCATCAAATTCTTCCTATATTTCCCTTATCCTTGTACTAAGTTTCGCACCTTCTATTCTCCACTTCTCTTCACACTATCAGTTAGGGATGGAATGGGATGAGTCAACCTGACCCGACACTATGTCTTCAAAATTCCTTGTCAACAGGGGTGAACCCAGTCTGGTTCTGGGCCAGCCAGCCCTAGGGAGGTAGAGTAGGGGAATTGGGGCCGCGACCTCTATTTTTTGTTCCGACCAGGTCCGCTCTTTTAATTTTTAGACCCCCGCCACACGTCCGCACCCCTACCAACCCTTTTCAGGTTCTAAATTAATTTACTCATTTACTAGAGTTTAGAATGCTGACAATGGTTGAAATGTAAAAAATTGGACTAATCGGGACCGGCCGGTCTCGGGCTCTCGGCCTATTTTATAAGAACTGGATCGAGAACCGACCCGGCCAAGTGACTAAGTAATGGGTTAGCCTGGACCCGACAGGTCAATTTGGTCAACGTTAATAAATTTGTAGTGTAATAAATATATAAATTTAAAATAAAAGGTATTTATTTTTCACAATTATCAAATGATTTCAATACTTAGTCCGGCGGGTCAACCTGGTCAACGTTTATTAATTTGTAGTGTAATAAATATATAAATTAAAAATGAATGGTATTTAATTTCCATAATAATCAAATGATTTTAATGCTTAGTAAACATTGAGAACATATGCACCATATTCTAAAATTTTAGTCCTATTTGAATGAAAATGTTATTTGACAATTATTTTTTAATCTAGAAAATAATTTTTGACATGATTGACTTTCAAGAATAAATATTAAAATATGTCACATACATTTTTCAAAAAATAAATATGAGCTAATGAGCATAACCACATTTGGAATATCATATATAATCTAAGTTTATTAATAGCAATAATACGCATTAGTATATTTTTTATGTTTTAATTAACCATTAACGATAACATTTGTGAAAGGTATACATGGTTAATATAATATGCATTTAGACACAAGATTTTAACTTGCCAAACTGGGTGATTGGCTTGCGCTTTCCTGAGCTACTAGTTGACATGCCAGGGATTGATTCTAATCCAACAATCCGAGGGAATTTTGTCGCCACCTGAATTGGTTCCATTGAAGTCTCTAGTGGTCACTCTGTATTCTTATATCGACTTTTTCTGCACCTATTTGTGCATCCAATTGTCTTGGTTCCTTTCCCTGAAAAACTTGAGAGAGATGAAGAACGATGAGATATTCATCGAGAGATAAGACAAGAGGGGACAAATGAGCTGAGGGTTTGAGAGGAGAGAAGGTGGGAGGCAGGGAATAAAGACAGATATGTGGCGAGTTTACCAAAACAGGAAATGCAAAGATTTATTTGGCACATCCTAAAATGGAAAGTGACAAAGTATAAATATTTAAATGGAACATGCCGACTATGTTTTAAATAATCTTAAACACTTAAATTGGATGATATGGAATTGCTGAGATGATGTGGAATTGTTGGGATGACGGCATGGCGAAAAATACCATCATATGTGAAATATGTTTAAAAGTATCACTCTTTTGAAAATAAGTTTGAAAATATCTCTATCTCACACAAAAACTCTTCTTTTTATTTTATACAAAAAGAAGTTCTAAACGTTTACAAGCGCATCTAAGTTAAAGAGCATAGATACGGAGTACGTAGTACTACGTAGTATTTATGAATGAAGTAGTTAATTAAAGAAGTGAAATATACTTCGTGTTAATTATGTGTCAGAAATAATTTTCACATGGAGATTCACCCATGAATGTTGGATTCCATTTATATAGAAAATGAATATGTTCCTTTAATGAGACGCATTCATTGCACTTAAAACTCCAAATCAATATTATGTATTTTCCAATCCAATTTAATACAGGATAGTAGTAATTGATGAACGTTGTTTTGGTTTCCCCGATGTATAAAAAACAGTGTAATTAATGATTGTTACGGCTTAAAGAAAATTAAACAAGTCATTAAAAATTGCGGAGTAAAAAATAAGGTATTTATAAGAAGTTCATACAATCTAAAATTAACCTTCCCAAAATCAAATAGGTGTATTATACAAAACACAATCAATAGGTATATTTAAGAATAAGTAATACTTAATATACAATCTCAAAAACCGTCTTGTCTTTTGCTAAAAATATGTTAAATTTACATGGGTTTATGCAACTTGAATGGTGTAGGATCAGGTTAGCAGGTAAGAAATAACATGTGTAATAACACCATTCATTCTTTAAAACTCAAACCATAAAATAACACCATTTCGGCGACGAGCTTTTTAAATATAACAACTTAATAAAACATCAATTTGGACAAGTTTTTAAAAATAGATAAAGGAAAACATCAAATATCATTGAAATGAAGTGTCGCTACTCTCACTCTAGAGTGTATGGTATATATTAGTAATCAATTGCTTCATTTTTTTTTTACCAAGAATAACGATAAACATTAAAATCAGTACAAGGGAAAGATATATGTAAAAGCTATACTAAAAAAAAAGCTATACTAAAAAGATATATGTAAAAGCTATACTAAAGTATTTTTTGAAGAGAAAAGTTAGGCTTGAATGATAAATTTAGCATATAAGATCCAAGAATAAATTAATATGTCTACAAGATTTGAGGACTTGAATATATAATAGTTAGGGGTGTTAGGAATTGATATCATTTTGCTTCTAATTCTTTTTAAAAGGAAGAAGTACAACTAGAGTAAGTTATTCAGAATATGATTTCTCCAGCTTCTAACAAGGTACATGTAAGAGCAATTTAGAAGCACTTAGAGGTACTTTTTCATTTTCACCCGAACACTTCAACATTTGCTTCTGTTTCTTGAAGGGGTAAAAATAATATTAAAAAGAAGATCTAATTTAAGCACCCCTAGCAGACACATTCAATTATGAACTTAGAATGTTTTAATTGGACCGAAACTTTCTAATTTGGTCTGGTTTGATCTGATCTTATCTAATTTAATTTGATTTGATTTGGCTTTATATGATTGTGTTTAGTTTTATTTGATTTGATCTGGTCTAGTCTAATCAGACTAAGAAGTCCAACTAAACTCTACATTGAAGTCTATATACTCGTATAACGAACAGGGACGGATCCAGGATTTCTATTCAAGGGGGGCGAAATTTTTCGGTAGTGTAGGGGTGAAAAAAATTTCGTTAGTGTAGTGGGGCAAAATTTTTTCCCTAGTGTAGCGGGGCGAATTTTTTCCGCTACTGTAGGACTATGCGGCTAATTTTATTCAAAAAATGACATTAATACATACACATCCCCAACGACATTTAAATCTATTAAGTAGTACATTCTAAGTTTAAATTAGACGATGACAAAGACATCAACTAAGACATTTTTAATAACTTCTACATTGTTTAATATCATGAATCGGTTATTATTGAATTGTAAATTTTGTCCGGCCACCAAGGAGGGTGTTCGTGAGTCAATGTCATGAGAAATTTTCTTAATATTACAATAGTAGTATGTATGATATTATTATTTTTAGAATAATATGCACCCCACACACACACATATATGGTGCATATTATATTTTAATATTTGTATTAATGCTATAATAATTTAAAGTTTATTATCTATGCAATAAATTATTTTTAGAAAGCAAGAAGTAAATGAATTATGTAATTTAATGTCAATAAACATTTATATTTTGGATTCATTTCACGTGATCTAAAAACTGTGTAATTAGTGTGTCTGATATTTAATATTGTTTGATATACGGAGTATATTTTACAAAATCAAGTACGTGTTATCTAATAAAGATAATTAAACACTACAAAACTAGGAATTCTTATATAATAAGTATCCTAAATCTTAAACAACGAGTTATTCTATTGTTTATTTGTTTAAGTTATGTAATTATTTTAGATGTTCCTTCTTTTAAATCTTCAATTAAGTATTACATTATGTAACACTATATATTAATTTTGAAAATTAAAAGATAAGGGGGGCGAATCTAATTAAATTATGAAAGTTTTATGAAAATATTACATATAGGTAGAAAATTTTGAAAGTCCAAGGGGGGCGGTCGCCCCCCGCGCCCCCCCCCTAAATCCATCCCTGATAACGAAGGACAATCTTGTTATTCTACGGTTAAGCTTTTGTCACTTAATCGATCAAGCTAAGAGTTATTAATTATCACATTTTAATTTGATTTTCGTATGGGGTTATGTCTAAAATAATACTAAAAAAAGAGCTATGAACAAAAAAGAGACCTTTATTTCAATTTTCCAAAAATGAGACTAACAATGGGTTAAGAGACTATTATACCCTTATTTTAATAGAATCTCACCCATTAGTCTACAATAACGCCACAGTGACCAAAACCATTATCGTGACCAAAATTCGTCACTGACCAAAAATCATTTGTGACCAAAAATCCAAAAATCCGTCAGTGACCAAAATCATTAGTGACAAAAAATTCTACCTAGTTACCAACGTCAACCCGTCCAGTGACCAATTTGACTAGTGACCATGACCAATCCACCCAGTGACCAAAAATCATTTGTGACCAAAATTCCAAAAATCCGCCAGTGACCAAAATCATTAGTGACCAAAATTTTTACCTAGTTACCAACGTCAACCCGTCCAGTGACCAATCTGACTAGTGACCATGACCAATCCATCTAGTGACCAAAAATCATTTGTGACCAAAAATCCAAAAATCCGTCAGTGACCAAAATCATTAGTGACCAAAAATTTTACCTAGTTACCAACGTCAACCCGTCCAGTGACCAATCTGACTAGTGACCATGACCAATCCACCCAGTGACCAAAAATCATTTGTGACAAAAAATCCAAAAATCCGTCAATGACCAAAATCCTCCAGTGACAAAAAATTATTAGTGACCAAAAATTCAAAATCTGTCAAATCATAGTTACCTGATCCGATCAGTTACAATTATACGACTAGTTCCATTTAACTGATTCATTAGTTACTCAACCAGTTACCTAACCCGACCAGTTATAGTTACAATTTCTCGGTCCGATCAGTAACAATTACGGGCGGCGACCGCCACCGCCACCGCCCTGTCCAGTCATTGTCATCCCGTCCCCTCCCCAGCCCCAGCCCCGACTCTCCAGCCCCCCTTTGGCCACAACGGGCGACAAGCAGTCAAGCAACACCCCACCCCCTCCCCAGCTCCCTTCCCTCCACTGCCCCAAACCCAGCACTCATCCCTTTCCTCTTCTCCTTAACCAGTACCCCCGCACCCCCTCACCTGGCCCAAACCCGTCTATTCTTCCCTTCCAACCTTGTAGCCCGCTTTCTCCTCAAATGCCCTCCCCTCTCAGCCTCCCAGATCCCATAGCCCTTCCTCGCCGCCTTACAAATCCTAGCCACCGGCTTCTAGCCAAAGCCACAACCTTTCACTCGGCGACGTGGCAGATCAACTACAGAGATGATTCAATTGATGATCGCTCGGATTGTTGACGATGATGGAGATGGAAGGATGGCGGCGGCGATGGCGATGGCGATGGAAGTATGGCGGCGGCACAAGCTTAAGAGCGACGCAGGCGGCTGGAACTCGGTATACCGAAGCACGGGTGTGGTTGGCGGCCATGATGCACCGGCGGTGGACGGTGGTCGGGACTTGGGAGGCAGGATGGACCAAAGGTTCTGGCAAGATAGCAGAGAATGGGTGGCGATGGGGAATTACGGATACGTGGATAATGGGTGATGACAGGGGTAGTTTTGGATTATCAATTGAAATAACTCTGTTTTTGTCCAAATTCAAATATGGTCCTAATTTTGTCTTTACAATAGCCTAGAGTATTATTCCCGTCATTCTTTCTTTTCGTATTTAGTAAATATTATAGTGTAATTCGTATATAAGGTAAATTTAAATATTGTTTACAGAAATTAGCTTTATCATCAAAAACTTCTTTGGGAGGGAAAGAGCATGTTTAAGTTTAATAAGGAAATTTATTCCATTTTTTTCAAGAAATGGGAAAATGAATAAGTCAATGGTCGAGCCAGACCCACGCAAGATATCAGCCCGTACGTCAACGGTTGATAACGATGTTGATATTGGCTAAGAAATAAAATATAAAATGTGCCTAGTATATATGCTCTCTCAATATATTTCTCATAACATTTAGTCAACTTAGATTTTGGGTCAATCATAATAAACTTCAAAGAATGATTTTTAGTTATTATATTTGTGTGAAATTTGAATCTTTTGTACGTTTATGAAAGTATTTTTAACAATTACGGAGTAGTATTTTCATACTATATAAAATTTGTCCATTCTAAATAATTTCGTATTAAAATTGTTATGGATTAATATAGACTATCATTCATCAAGAAAAGTCTATATATATATATTGAGATATATGTAGTATATATATCCAAATCAATGATGTTTTTGCTTGAACTGTTTTCAGTCATAGATCTAACAAGACCAGAATTGCATAGTTATAAAATATACATAAATCAAATGTTTATGAAATTAGATTAAATCAGAAAATTTCATTCCAATAAAAATATGCTAAATACTTTTTTTTTGAAAGGAAATATACTAAATACTTGGTATATAAAGAAATTGTGGGGGAGCAGGCAACCCTTGGACGGGGGTGTATATGCTCAATACTGCGACGTACGGCGCACGTGCGTTAAGGTAAGAAATTCGCATTATTACGTTCCCACATAATCATTATATTACACCACCCAATCCAATCCATATGTATGTCTTCATTCATTTTGTCACTCCCCATTTAATTAATAAATACACACTATACACATATATACACACCCTCGCGTCGATCAGTCCCATGCAAACTAAAACATAGTTTTAAACTGTTTTTGGGTTCCATCATAATCCATGGCTTACTTGGACATGGGAAGCCATTCCCACGGGATTGAGAATTTTTGGGGAAATTTCTATGGGGAAAACGATAACACCCATCTTCTTCTCCAGTCTGATTATGAGCATCATCTCCACAGCAGGTTATTTTGTAATTTTCAATAAGTGAATAAGTTGTACCACGTATGTATATATGTTCATAATATATAGTAGTATAATATAGTCCGTATATCTAATAAGCCCACAACTTTCTTTTTTATTCATAAATATTATTGTTACACATATGTTGTACACATTCCATGTACATCTTCTAGTTGTCTGTCTACACAGACAATTAGTTCAGCAATTGCCTTATATACAAACAATTGGGAGTGGTGTACACAAAAAGTGTATAAAATACTAGTTTGTGTGCACCAAGAATATATGGTTCTTTTTTATTTAATGAAAAAGTGCTCAATTCTATTTTTGAAATTGCCTCTTGTAGAACTAATTAATAGAATAAGAAATATACTACTAGAGAATGGGCTTTTCACGTCGGGATAAGAATATGATTATACGTAGTATTTCTATCTTTATAGGAGTAAGTTATGACAAATTAAAGATACTTCTATCAAACCCTGTTTTGCTCATTTTAGATCCAATGCCTTTGTCTAGCTAAGACCATTTGTAGTGGTTGAGAGTCCAAATTGTTAAATTTGGACTCCGTCCATATGAAAACAGTGTTTTGACTCCGTCAATACTGTTTTTCCCTGCATCCGTGCACCGTCAATAAAATACACTCAACATATTTTTTTACATATCAATTTAGTAAAACATTAATTAATTTATCATAAGTAATGTTTTCCGTTTAATATTTTCCCTAAATAATTGTGAAATAAAAAATACACATTTCGATATAAAAATAAATAAATTTCATTAATTTTTTTTTAATGTTTTTGGTTAACAAAAATGAACTTAGTTCAAGTAAAGTTCGATTATAAAATATTCAGTTATTTGTGAAGATTCCATGAATTAAAAATTTGTGTTTCATCGTTTTGTAAACGGAAGAAAACTTCAACAGTTAACACTTAAGAATTTTTGTTTCATTTTATATATTACATATTGGTGTCATATGAAAGATCATAAAATTTTATGAATTTTGATATACATTTTGAAAATTTTGGAGAATAAATAAAAAAGTTACAAGAGTTTAAAACAATTTGGGGTTATAATGATGTCACCATGATGTCAGCGAAAACATGGTTTGGGTGTCAACCCCTCCCTCTATATTTACACTCTTCCACTCCCCTTTCCACTTTTACTCCCCCTTTTAATCCTCCACTACACACAAGAGTCTAAAATCTCCATTTTTAATCTTTTGACTCCTAATCCCCAACCACTACAAATGGTCTAATACTATACGTAGTACTAGTATAAATTAGATTCTTTTTCAATTTTTTACCACACAAGAAGCTGAGAATGTACTACTTACATTTATTTCTGTAATGAACAGTTTGTTGTATTATGAAGACTTTCCCTCCAATTGGGGTTGTGAGGAAGAGAAGTACAACATCTATGGCAATGTTTGGATGGAAGAATATGATTACTATAACTTTTGGGAGAACTACTTCTCCACCACGCCTTACTCTGATTTCAGCTGCATGGAACCGTTGATCGATGACTACCCAATGCTGTCTTCACCATCATTTCTAGATTTCTACGATGCGGAAGCGGCGCCAGCCAAACAGCCCCTTAGCTGCACCCAGCAAGAAGTGGTGCCCGTCCCAGGGAGTGGGGATGGCAATCCTACTGTGGAGAGGAGGAAGACGGCGTCGTGTAAGAGGTCCAGAAGTACAGATGATCTTCATGAACAGCATGGGGAGGAAGATGATCAAGAAGCTGATAAAAGTAAGAATGCTTTAACGTTGTCCAGAACAAAGATATCACAGTACTTCCACATGCCCATAATGGAAGCAGCCAAGGAGCTTGGAGTGGGCATAACCCTATTAAAGAAGAGGTGCCGGATGCTGGGAATTCGCCGGTGGCCTCACCGGAAGCTCGCCAGTCTTCAAACGTTAATCAACTATGTTCAGGTACGTGCACTAATGATTAATCAATACACACTGCACGCAATCGGATTCATGTCTTTGTACAAGTTTTTTGTTCACATTTCTTACATACACTACAAAAAACAGCAATTGACATTTCAAAAATGTTAGAGAATTTGGTAGGTATATGTCAAATTCGTGCAAAAAATAACATTTTGGCATGAAATATTTGACACGAAATCATCGATCAATTCGTGCCAAATGAATGGCACGCCTATAATTTTTTTTATAGTGATATAGGGCAAAAGTGATTTGTGTCATTCAAATATTGGGACAAGTTATCTATACATAGATGAATTAAAATGTAAGAAATGTGCACACAAAACGTGTTAGTTCATTAAGAATATTCCATATGTGTGTGTGTGAGAAATTGAGAGTTTTTCACTTTTAGTTTGGCCTATTTTTAAGGAAATTGCTAAATATAGAGAAAGTTCGATTTGGATAAATATAGTACGTGGAGTATGTTTAAGTCGATCATGTTTAAGAATTTTTGTATTTCTTTATTTTGTTAAAATTTCTTGCGAGTGATACAAGTATGATGATGGAACGTACTATATCCAAATAGGAGTAAAACATAACCTATTTATTTAATTAAATATAAGCGTAACTATTTTCTTTTCAAAATGCGTACGACTCATTCACTACTAAATTTTTCGAATGTTTTTATTGTTTTATCATTTTAATTAGACTAAAAAAGCTACAGTAATTTTGGAAATAAAAATGTTTTAGTACTATTTTGAACTGTTACGATATTTTACTCTTATTTGGCCATATTCATTCCATAGGTATAGGTCGTAAAATTGTACTTGTATTAATTGTAAAATTGTAATTGTTTGTTTTAGACTTTTAGCCAATAAAATTTTTCTTGTTGAGCTTATCCTGTGTGAGAATATATATTTATTGAACTTTGGGAATAGCAGGAATTTGGAGATGAGAATAATGAAAATGAAGGTTTGGTGGGGAGAGCGAAGGCAACGATAGAAATGCTAGAGTGGGAGAAGAAGCGGCTGGAAGAATTTCCAGATTTGGAGCTAGAGGAGAACACTAAAAGATTACGGCAAGCTTGTTTCAAGGATAACTACAAAAAACGGAGGCTTAGCTTCTTCTCCCCTTCTTTGTTAACCGCTGGCCGGCCGGCGGCCGGAGATTCAAGAATGGGGGCGGGAGTTCGAATTCGTTGATGAAAAGTCGGCCGACAAGATTCGATTTTGTCTTAAATGCAAACTGATGGCTAGCTCTAGCCTCTAGCTATGCATATATATTCTACTAAGCTAGCTTTAATTTAATTTGTAGTGTATCATTTTGCATTTCGATCTCCGTTTCCAATGTACATTGGAACATGATGAAACAAACGGGTTGGGATGATCTTGATCAAAGGTAGAACTTTTTGGATACCATGAATTCATCCTATCAAATCTGAATTGAAAGATTGAAATCTTTTTTTTTTGTGTGTGTGAACCCGTTAATTAAAGAATAGAAATAATGTTGAATATTATGACTACATGCAAATAATGCAATGAATTATTTAAACAAAATTGGAATTTTTATACTTTATAAACCATAATAGTAGTAGTAATTTAATGAACATTATGATTTTGTTCTTCAAGTTTATACTTATACTTTAATCACCATGGCGAATTGACGATACAGTTATAGTAATTTTAGTAATACCTTTTTCAGATTTTTCATTTCAGTGAGATTATAGCACAAACCTTTAAAGGATATTACTCTCTACATAATAACATCATTTATGTTTTCAACAAAAAAAAATTAACATCATTTATATGTGAATAGTTGCGCAACATTAAATATTTCTTAGGTGTTTTTAAAGTAAAATAAAAATTTAATTACACATCTGATTAAATAAATCACTCAAGATGAAACTCAACAACGTAAATATCTTAAAAACGTAGCATTCTGTTTCAGATCCTGTTTAATTAGTAACCACTACTTTTGGTTTAATGTTTTTTTTTGGTTTAATGTTTATCACCAAATCATGTTATCAAATACACAACTAATTTGATTCAATGCACTCAATTGTGTAATTATCGTAAAGTTGAATTTTTTAGCCGAATTAGATGAATTTGCTTAATATGAGACTATTTTTGCTATTTTAATTTCAATATTTTTTCTTCGCCTAATTAATAAAAATATATGACACACATATACTCCCTCCGTCCCATTTTAGTTAGCTAAACATTATTTTTCAAGTCAATAGTGTTTAAGTTTGACCGGTTATATAATTATATATAAAGTATTGATAATATGAAAATGATATAAAAATGTTGTTTATCAAAAATACTATTATAAAAGTATAAAATTATTAAATTTACATAAATGTATTAGTTAAAACAATTGATCAAAGTTTATCATCTTTGACTGGAAAAATCAAAGTTAGCTAAATAAATTGGGATGGAGGTAGTATATGATTTTTACGTAATCCATCATATTCAGCCCAATCAATCATATCGGCCAAAAGTTCTCAAACTTTAGCAGATTCACCTAATTCATTCAATTTGATCAATTAATCTCAATCTAACCTAATGATCGAGCACCCAATGTTATACTCCCTCCGTCCCATTTTGGTTGTCTTACTTTCTTTTTTGGGTTGTCCCAAAATGAATGTCTTGTTTCCTTTTTTGGCATGAAATATGTGGTTCTTATTAATTCACTTTATTCTACTCAAATCTCAACCACAACTTTTACTTTTCAACCACTTTATTAATAATTGTGCCAAATTGAAAGTGGACAACCATTATGGGACGGAGGGAGTAACTTATAATTCATTCACATCATAAATGGTTTTTTTTTCACTCGTGATTTTACTTGATCAACAAGTAGTTAATTGAATTATGGAGCCCAAGTAAATAAAAAGTTCACTATCCTTTTGAACTATATATGGAGCCCAACAGTAGGGGTGCAAATGAGCCGAGCCGAGCCCGATTTTCTACAGGCTCGAGCTCGAGCTCGAAATATATAGCATCGGCTCGAGCTCGGGCTCGGCTCGAACGAGCCTACAAAATCGCGGCTCGAACTCGACTCGCAAAAGGCTCGGTTCGACTCGGTTCGGCTTGAGGCTCGATAACCATTCTGATGCTCCATAATGAGTCCGTAGTAAAAATTCACTGTCATCGGCCCATTCTAAGTTTTTCTATTGAGTAGTAACGCCCTAAGCCTAAAATATTATAAATTTTTACTAATCGGTAATTCGGTATATATTATATACTATCCTCCGTTCCATAATTCTTGCAACAATTTGACTTTCACATTTGCCAATGCACAACTTTGATTGTAATTATATTTAATTATGTATTAGTAGACATTATAAAAAGTTGATATTTTGGAAATTCACATTGATAAGAGTTCAATAACATTTTATACGTAATAATTTGATTATGTATATTAGTAGAAAATCATGGTCAAATTAAGATATGTGCATAGTGTAAAAATCACAATGTAGCAAGAATTATGGAACGGAGGAAGTATATCATATATATTACATATAATAATATACACTATATATTAATTTATATTGCATAGTAATATATTATATATGATTATATATATATTATAAATATTCACATATAAAATTAGGCTCGCGAGCCAGCGAGCCTGAAATTAGAAGGCTCGAGCTCGGGCTCGATTGCTTAACGAGCCGGCTCGAGCTCGGGTCGAGCTCGAATTTGACCGATCCCGATTCGAGCTTTGACCGAGCGGCTCGCGAGCGGCTCACGAGCGGCTCGGCTCATTTGCACCCCTAAACCCAAGTAAACTCACAGTCAACATATCACCCAGTGATTTAGTTCAAGTTTGCCATCCTTATGAATTATGAAATCCAAATGACCAAACTTATCACAAATAGAAATCTTTTTGTCATCAAGGTTAATCCCATTGCTCTCACTGCTTCTATGTATGTATCATCGATAATATATAATAAAATTATCATTGGGAGAAGTAGTATACACAAGAAGTACATAAAGCAAAACCCTAGAGATTACCATTAAAAAAATCTCAATGGTATAGAACAAATAAACTGAATAGCTTCTATCACTACAAATAGCATTCAATCCTCATTATATTAGGCAGTAAGAGTTTTGTGACAGTTTTCGTGAAAAAAATAATAAGCATTCCTCAATATAATTAATTTTACATATAAACCAATTACTATGATTTCACACCAATATATATAAAGTGAGTACAATATCAAATTTAGCTGTAATTTCAATTAACCACTCCGTAATATAGTTAAATGACGAATTTAACGCACTGTTATGAATTACTCTAAAATGAAACGCAACCGAAATTCCTCTCCTATTTGAGGTAGGTGTAACTTGTAAAATTCATTTCCTCAATGTCATGCCAAATGCTTTTGCTACAAGGAATCTCACGAGGGAGTACTTAGTAGGGCTGGGCACGGGCCGGGTCGAGGCGGGTAATGCAAAATAAAATGGAACCGCCGGTTCCATTGTACGGTTCGGTCCGGTCCGGGTATTACAATTTTTAAAATAGGAACCGGAAATTACCCGGCCCGTTTGAAACGGGTCGGTCCGGTCCAGGTTTTACGGTTTCTATTCTGATGTCTTGAAATTAGTAAAAACTCACGAAGTTCCAAAAATCAATAATGAATAATATAGGACATTAGCAAGTTTCAAAATAACAACATAGTGGTGCACATGTAACACAAGCAACAAGTCAATACCCAAGATTTCATGTATATAAGTTTCAAACAATTAAAGAAATTCCAAAAATATGCAACATAGAGAAAATACATATTTTCTAACATTTGTATTTAAACATGTTGTCTAACACCACGTATTAAAGTGATTGCTTTTTTATGTTAAATTTTCTGTATTAGCCAAAGTTGACACATACATGGTGGGTGGTAAACACAATTTATATATTTTAAGAACAATATAATAAAAAAAAATAACAAAATCATTTTTAACAAATAATTAAATTCCATAGAAAGGAATAATTCAATAACAATAAAAAGTCGTAAGATATTTATGAAACATTTAATCAATAATTTGAAAACAAAAGGATGTTACTGCAACTCAATTTAAAATCCTACTTCTAGGCTTCTAACAAAGGAAACAAAACTATTTCAAAACCGATTATCACAAAACTATTAATAAATTAATATACAATATCTATAACGGGCCGGGCCGGGTACCCGTTATTTTTTAATTTTGGAACCGGTCCGGTTCCTTAAAAAAAATTACCCGACCCTACCCGGACCGTTTTATGGCAACAAAAAATGGAACCGGCCCGTTTTGGACCCGAACCGCCATTACCCGGACCGGACCGCGGTTCCAAGACCCGTTTGCCCACCCCCAGTACTTAGTATATTTTCTCACTCCATTTCTTATTTTTTGAATGATGGTAAGAATGGTAACTAATCATTGCTATTTTGCAGTATATAATTAAGGATTTAGGATATTTTCTTTTAGACTGTTTTCAGTCTTAGATTACACCAGACCAGATCAGATCAGATCAGACTTTCGTAGTTATAAAATACACAGATATCAGACATTTACCAAACCAGATCAGATCAGACCAGCAAATTTCAGTCCAAAAAGAAAACATCCTTAGTGAAGATATTAAAATCCGAAAATCGTATGAATAAGTTCCTGTGGTTGTATGGTTAAATTTTCATTAATAACATTTTATCAGATTCTTCCTTTATTTTTCTCCTCAACAACCCATCGCATGATGAACGGCAAGGCAAGCTCGATAAGCTCAAGGAGTCAAAAGGTATATCAAATGATAAATGACTACCATGATCATATGTATTTCGATCTCCTAATTTACACTTCGGAGGTTGCGTAATTGAGGGCTTAACACCAAAATTGACTTAATCGGTTCAAATTAATGAAATTCTGACTGAAGGGTGAATTGACTGTATATCCTAAATTATATAAATATTACTCTCCCATTCTTAATTTAAAGTCTCATTTTCCTTTTTGAGATGTTCCTAAATTAAAGTTTGAATTTTTTATATGGTAAGCAAAGATATATCAAATAATGTCAAACAATGCAAAACCGTGCAAAACAATTTCAAAGCAGTGTGAAGTCAAACCAGGACT